AGGATGCAGACGTTTCTTGCCGTGGCAGTGGGTCTTTCGGTTTCATTAACTGACGCCTGATGGTTGCCTCCGGTCTGTGTGCGAGAAGGCAACCGAGAGGTTCCTAAACGTTCTTGAGATATGGGAGCGTTCGCCAAAATTTGGTGTCCGTGCGGTTAGGCTTTTAGTCCCTTTTGCGTATGCACCGGTTGACAAATTTGTGCGGGTAGTCATTGGCTTTGAGGACGCGTCGGAGGTATTGTAGTTTGGAAATCTTGTCTTCTGGCTCACTGCAGTGCGTTTGGACACGTCGATAGAGCGGCCGCCTTCTAGCACCACTTGGGGTTGGAGTTGCACATAGACCGGAGGCAACCATCAGGCGTCAGTTAATGAAACCGAAAGACCCACTGTCACGGAAAGAAACGTCTGGAGTCGTTTATCGGATCTGGTGCAGTTGCGGACAAAGCAACTACGTGGGAGAAACCGGAAGACAGCTCCGAACGTGAATGGCTGAACACGCTGCAGCGATGCGGATAAATGACGCTAGCTCTCAAGTTGCGACTCATTCAAGAAGATCCGGCCACACATTCAAATCCGACGAGGCCGAAATTCTCGCAAAAGCTGACAACCGCGTGAGCCGGGAGCTACTTGAGTCATGGTTTACTGGCTCGCAGTCCATTAAAAAGTGCAATGATCTTCCTCTTCCATACTTGTTGTTGAGACATCGGCTAGACGGAGTAAATAGACACGCGGGAAGCGCACAGGTGAGCACTTTTCCCAGCGTCAGGGTCGGTGCGTCAGATGGTCTAGCCATCATCACAACAACATCCAACACACGTGATGAAATTGCAGCAATTAACTACGCGAATGTCGGTCATCACACCACGTGCAACGATCCCTGATGAAGGGGGGAGCCGTGAGTATTCATAGGTATGCCGTAGCATGGCGACTGCACCCTATACATACTGCAGCGCCTTATGCATGAACCACCCGTATCTGCTTTTGTCTCTGATGATGGGTTCGAGCAGGAATCCGAAACGCCAGGCTAACAAAGCTCTTGTCCCAGCGATCGTGTCTCCTTCTTCACGACTACTTCCTAGGACTCGTCTCTTCGCTTCTATTGGCAAAACCATGGTTGCTCTACGAAACGGGATGCGTATGCATGAATCTGTACCACAAAGTCAGTATAACGAATTAAAAGTGAATGCTAACCACACAATCTGGATTTTTAACAATTGAATTTCAAAAAGAAACCAGTTATTATCTGCGAAACCAAGTTATCCAAGACTGAAAGAGATCAAGCATGTCATACTTATGGGACTGTAGTGCATAATGGAAATATTGTGGGCTCTGCTTTCCTGAAAACTGGGATTGACAGTCTTCCTGAGATAACGCCATGTGACTTTGTTTTTTATTGATTAACCAGTTAGGAAGCTGCAGTCTCAGTGAGACGAAACGAAATTACTGAGAAGGGGAAGGGTTTCCGAGTGGTAGGAATAAATGCATCGGAGGGGTTGTTTTTACTAGCCGTCATTGCTTATGCTTGTTCCAAACCTAGGTCAGGGTGTCTCGAGTTTAATGTCTGAAGTAGCCTTTTTAAGCCCGGATGGAACTCAAAGACTTAACCACCACTGGCGCCCCATTGACTGCAATATGGAGTAGTTAATCAATAGAAGCTTTTCCGAGGTGTCCGTATCGCAATTCACACCAGAGGATGACAGGTGGGCCATACTTTGTTAATAGGCTGACGCTGTATAACATTAATTCATCTTTTTCAGACAGTGGCTAAGCAAGCCTTCCTGATTCTAAAGTGACTATCTCTACTTATTTTCGAATCATTTGGTCACGTCTAGGTTAGTCAGGACCTGTGTTCAGAAAGAGTTGTTGTAAACTGATTAAAAAGGCATAATCAACTTAAACCGTATGAATTCCACCTTGCTCGAAAGCTGATAACTGTCCTCCCATGAGAATTCACCCTTTCGAGTCAAAGGTTAGGGTGGCAGAATACTGATTACAAAATCGGGGACTGTCATTCAACAGAGGTAAATCAATGAAAAAACTAAATGCAGACTAGAAGCTCATAATTCTATTTGTAATTTTCTATCTGTCAACATTAGACCGTCTTCAGTCGAAATGACTGAGGGCAACAAAGGCGAGGGGCAAGGTAGCCACATTTGACGTCCCCACGCTGTGTGGGTTGGAAGGACGACGGTAGCGGCGGGCCACGATCGATACACGCTCGGGGTGCAAGGGTTGAAAACACATTCACAGGGGCGAGGGGGGGGGGTAGGTAGCGTATTTGACCCAGTGGTTTGGAGACCGGGGTGTTTGACGAGGCCAACATGACGAGTGCTGCTGCCTCCCCTCGAGTGTTGAACATCGGGAACCAATGCAGGCACGGTAAAGAGCTCAGCTCGACAGGCAGTCCGGTCTCCAAATCACTGAGAAGAAAATAGTCCGTTATCTGCTTTCCTCTCAGACCAACCACATACCATCTTTCAGCAAGGTCGAAGATAGAACAACAGCCACCCGTTTCTGCTTTTTTGTCCCTGATGATGGATTCGAGTAGGAATCCGAAACGTCAGGCTAATAAAGCTCCTGCCCCGGCGATCGTGTCTTCTTCTTCAAGACTACTTCCTGGGACTCGTCTCTTCGCTTCTATTGGCAATGGAATACCTCAGTCGCAGCCTTCCTACCCCTTGCCCTGACACTTCCCAGTCATTTCATCTGGCAGTGAACTCTTATTAACAGGTTGAAGATTCGTCAGGTAATTTGTCCACCTCTGAAGCACTTTCGCTTTCCTTGACAAAGACTGAGCTAGAATTACTTCTCATCGCTGTTATCTTTGATCTTATTTTGTCTGTGCACATTTTGGCTAATGGGAACATCCGACAGAGTGGGAAAGATTTTACCACTACTATTTTTGAACCCATCATTAAAAAATCTTCGATAAATAAGCTAGGGAACACCCTAGTAACCAGGAATAGGGATCCTGCCATGGCGCTATCTGTCACGACTCCGTTTGCGAGTATTTTCTGCCGACCATGACAAAAAGGTACGGTTGGATAATAAATAAGATATTGTGTGAGTAGGGAAAAAATGGTATTTCGTTCCTGTGGGCAGAGTTACAAACGTCGTTGTGAAAACAGTCGATATGGGAAATATGGTCTCTAGAGCCCCCTAAGGGAATTCTCAGTCGTACGCTTTACACAGGCACTTCGACGAGGGTGTAGTTTGCGCCCTTTGGTATTGATGAATCAGAAATTCCACCAACCAGTGGTCGAAAGCTCTATGAGAACTGCCCAGGGCAAGGGTAGGTTGGAGAATGGGGAACGAAAATCAAAGGACACTCATGCCAAATAAATCACCTCTAAAAAGGTCATACTGAAACAACTCGGTGCATGGGGTTACATTAATGCGCCAGATAACGCCCAAAAGGAGACTTCCTGCAGCGATTAATTCATAAATGAACTAAGAACTACTAACACAAATATAGTAGCTAGCCATATATTACAACCAGTGGGGCTACACAAACCATCCTTGGGCTGCCCAGATTTAATTATCTCAACGAGAAGTAGCTCAACTCCCGTGGAATCGGTGTCCCACCTTTCGGTTCCCAGGACCGGAATGGATACTTCCATTCTTTCCTGCAGTTTCAACTTGGAGCCTTTTAGGCGATAAAAGATGTGGAATGCATGTCGGTCAAGACAAGGAAGGCTTACATACCTATAACTGCTTTTACTAAAGTGTTTAGTTGGTGATACCCTAACTCAGACCGGGAGATCAGAGATTTGAGCATATTCTCCAATATAAACAATCTGACACGTTTGAAACTATCACTAACTGACTGTAGGGTCTGAATTCCATCGTCATTTGCCAACCTCCCAAGTTACGACTTATCTAACGTACCATGGTAGTTTCATGCACGTCAGATTGTGCATATTGAAGAGTATGTGTTGAGAGTCAACTGCACTCTCTCTTTGTCCAAGCCGGTCAACCAAATGATACTTAGATCGGCGGAAGTGGTTGACAGAACTAAGTACAGTTCGTCTGCGCATGCCACATACACGACCTGGCTGCAGGGTCTCATACAAGTGGGCTGAACTGCTCGCATCTCACAGGCGGCAGAGGAGCTGAAGGACCCACTAACAACTTATGTGAGGGATGCCTAGCTCGTACCTGCCGCGTGCGCTATCGGGCGTCTTCATGTGTAACGCATGTGTTAGTCGGGAGATGTGTGATGATGTGGTTTTTTCCGCGGTAGCCTACTACTGGTTTTTAATGGGAGCGCATGTGACAGAATAGGCTCATGCGATGCTGAATGTGCGTAGACAGTGCTGACAGTTGAAACGGTGACGACGAGTGCATGTTGGTGCTCCAGGCACTGGTTTGCCATTCTCTGTGCGGTGGATTCGTAAATGTTCGATCAGGCCGATGCATGAGATGAATGTGCGATCACACTTAAGGCAGGTTGGGACCGATTCCATATTGCTGATGGTTGGGGCGGCGGTAGTGACAGTAATGGTTAACGGAGATTCTATTGGTCACTGCAAATGCTTCTGAGACTATCCCACTGTCCGTGATGAGCCCCATCATCTCGTAGTGAAGCCGACGCACCATGCACGTGAATCGCTCAGGGCACCCGAATTTCTACGTCATTTTTTTGAGTCCATCGCGATTCACAGTGTCGAGGACTTCTGTCAGCTCCACAAAAAGAATTTAGATATGAGTCTGTACCTACTGACAGGCGACGACGATCATGTCGACGGTTCCGTGGTTTCGTCAAAAGCCTGACTGGCATCCCAGAAGAAGTTCGTGTTCCGGATGGCGGTTGACAGGATTAAGAAGGCTACGAGCGAAGATCCTTTCAGTAATTCTGAGCAGCACGATGTCTCTGTGATTAGTACATAGCTGTCAGTCTTCCTTCCTCTTGCAGAGGTGTCCGACTGTCGCGTCCTTGAAATCCTGGCGAACTTGTAATTGGCGCTACACCTCCTGGAATGTCATCGTAAGTTTTTCTATCAACCGGGGCCGCCGTGCTTGTAGACGCTGGCCGGGGTCCCGCTGGAGTCTGGCGCTTCCCTGTAGGAGAGCTGTTGAACGGCTCTCGTGATTTCTGGGAGGGGAGGGGGGAGGTGCAGGTCATTGATCGTAGTCGCTTGAGGAAGTCTGCCGTTAACAGCGTCGGAGATCGTGAAGGGGCGAGTAAGGACTGCTCTAAAGTTTTGGACTCAGTGCTTCAGGATTTGTAATTTCTCGTGAGGGGTGTTGTTCCGTGGGAGCTGTGAAGTTTCGCGGTTCCCTTGCGCTTTGCCTTGATCGATGCGAAGTCCTTAATTTCATTGTGGTTCGCATATCCTTGGATTTCCTCGACCCCGCGATCCATCCAATCGTCCTGCATCTCCCGCAGCTGTTGCTGCGCTAGGCGGCGACATCTGAAGACGACCGCTTTGTTAGTGTTCGTACGCGGCCGATGTAGGCTCTGGCAGTTTGTTCTTTACGGCGAGGGGGACAGTATTTAGGCTACCTGTTGGTCGCCTACCCCATGGTCTCCGGCGACGTCGCAGCCGAAGTTTCATTTTGGAGATGACAGGGCTGCGGCCGGTCCAGTCGTCAACGTCGCAGATGGCGTTTGCCGCCAGCACTTCCTCTCGACCTCTCTTCCGGACGAGAATGTCGTTCCGCAGGTGCCAGCGCCGCAATCGGGGATGCATCCACTTTGCCTCCTTCCGCGTCGAAGGCGGAAGAAGGTGTTGGCTAGGAGAAAGTGCTGTTTGGTGCAGGTTGGCAGAAGAAGAGCGCTGCCGTTGCAGTCGCTGAGCCGGTGGGAACCCAGTACTCCCCTCCAGGAGGCGCGGCCTGTCCCGACGCGGGCATTAAAGTTAAACAGTTTGTCCGCCTTCGTCATATTGGGCCAAGAGGGCGTGCAGATCCTCGTAGAATTTGTTCTTCGCTTCCCCTGAGCTGGGCACTGGGGTGGGTGGGGGGACGTAGGCGCTAGTGGTGGTGCTGAATGTATTTCCCCGTCGGTCGTTGATGCCTTGCGGCAGACAAGGCAGTCGTCCCAGGGTGTCGTTTGAAATGGCAAGGACGACGCTAGCGTCGGTCCCGAAGAAGGTGTAGTCTACTCCTACCTCCTTCAGTAGACCCTGTTCAGAGAATCGGGTCTCGCTGAAAGCAACGATGCCCAGATTGTGGCTGGCCAGTTCTCGGGCGAGCGTCGTCCTCCGTTCCGACCAGTTCTTCCTCGGAATGCCTAAAAGAGAACGAACATTCCAGGCTGACATATTAAGCGGACTCTAGCAGCCCAGGGGTGGGGGTAATAGAGATGTGGATTGTTGTTTATTTGATTGTCGCAACAGCAAATTATTCATCCATGAGCCACGGTATACTTGCAAATGATGTGATTCTCCGGCATTTGTTTAGGGCACTTTTTCTAGTCGCTGCCCTCGCGAGGGGATAAACAATGCCATCCCTAAGTAGGACTGATTGGACATGCCAAACGGCTGCCGAATCGTACTATGGATGACGACTTGGTTTAATAGAAGATCGGCCCCAGTTAGCCGGGGCCGCAGAGGGGATTTTTTGTCGCTCTCTCTGTAGGACATTTGAAGTGAGAGGAGGGAAGAATGAGGTGGGAAGGAAGGGGGAGGGTGGTGGGAAAGATGGGAATGGGGGCAGTATCGCCGCGTAAGTACGCACAATACTGGATACCCTTAACCTGGTTTAGCGCGACGGTGGAAGCAGTAACCGGGGGTGTGACTGCTAGGCCGAGTCTAGATTGGAAGAATCACAGATGACAGTTGGGTGTCATTTGGGTGCAGTTAGGGCTGTGAGGCGCAGCCGCCATTTGAATGATGCGACCTACCATCTCTGCGCGTAGTGCCCTAACTAGACATGCTTGCACTCCACACCCCCCTTCCTACTGTATCGGAGACGCACAAAGCAAATGTTTTTATTGACGTCGAGTCCCACACTGGCAGAGACCAGGGTGCTTGTGAGAGAATTCTGGGTTGCTCCGGGATCGGTAGCTGCAGGAACAAGTGTCTTATTCCTCTGCACGGAGCACAGTCTTTTCTTGACCAAGACCTTCCTTCGTCTTGCGATGGCGGAAGTAGCAATCGACGTATGACCCCTCTTCTGGACTACATCCCCTTTCGGATGCGCGACCATCGTGAGGTATTCGTGAATAAGCCGGTGTGGTGTTGTCGACTGCTGGACAGGTCGACGCCCTGCCATCCCAAAGATGCGGCTCCAAGTACAATCTCATAGGCTACTGCAAGTCACGTGAACAGCTCGTAAGCTAAATACTACATTACTTGATATGCTTGAACCCAAATGAATTTTAGCATTTACGTGAACTCCAACCTGAAATAAATGCAAATCCAGAGGAAGCATGTCAATGGCGAGACCCGGCAGAGGGAGAAAGTGGGCTGCAATTCAGACCGCCGCATTGGAAGCCCTCGGTCGTGCACACGGTCAGCATCAGGACAGATTTGATGAGAATGAGGAGGAAATCCGCAATCTGCACTCTGATTATAGCAGGCTGCACACGATCTACACCATCAACAACAGCGACGCCAATAATGTTACATATTTCCGATGTCAGAGCCTAGTATAGGAAAGACTGATGGAAATGAAGAACGACTAACTGGCAAAGACCCGATTTCCGCGAGCGGACTCTAAAAAATGGCTGGTTCCAAAGCAAAGGGTCGAGGAGTTCGTTCTGAGGAGCCGCTCATATTGCGAAAGGAGGTACAGGAGCGCAAGTTTGACTTTCGTGCACAGGAAGAGTTTTTGGCCCTGTCTCCCCCAAGTGTACGTGATACGCTTAGACAAAGACCTCCGAGTTACAACATCCTGCCAATTCGTGAATACCGATGGGAGACAAGCTTTCTCATTCGTGGGACACACCGTGGGCGGTTAGAGGCGCTTACTCATATGGACAAGGAGGTTGGTGAAACCTTGCAGTGCCGGCGATTCAGGGAAGTCCAATATCATAGCATCACGGTTGGATTCGATGCATTTTGTCACCCTGTACACTGGTAAGCCGATCAGCTTCCCAAGTGCATGCAAAGTTGTCGTGAAGTTAAAGAAAATCCTCCGAAATGCGCTGATACAAAAAATTTAAATTTTTATCTTAGGGGAAATATGAACAGGATGGAAGTCGGGAAGTGTTAGTTAATGAAGCCATTCATTGCGTTTAGTTCAGCTGCGTACGAGTTTTAAATGGTTGTACAAATGTTGCCATTATAAGCGGAAACAGCATAGAATTATCGAAGTGATATGATTAGTCAGTTATATGAATTACGCGTTTGGTTCTGGCGAACACATGCTGAGAGCACGCCAAGGTGATAACGCGATCAACGGACTTGCACAGCTCTGGCTTCCTCTTCTATTATGCTTTTTAATTCATCTTTCCCCTTGCAAAGGCGAGGATATTGTTTTTTACAAAAGTTCATTTGTCGTAGACCAAGGTGGAAAAGACAATAGGTTCATTTCCCGTGCTCTATTGACGCAAGTAGCAACTTAGCACTGCGTTGTGTTAGCCGTCACCTATAGTAAGTTAACATATACGTTGAATGACCAGCTCAGTTTTCTTTAATGCACCCTCTTGAATAACGGATACCCTGGGAAATTCATTTCGGAATGGAACCAGTTTAATCAAGCGGAGGCAGCAGGAAAGCCAGTACCGAAGAAACCTGTAAGCTCAGACGACGAAGATATGATCACTGGAACAAGAAATTTGTTAGCCTGACGTTTCGGATTCTCACTCGAATCCATCATCAGAGACAGTCACAGATAAGGGTAATGGTGACACAAGGAGTGCAGTATTTATGGCACGTGGCTGCCGTGGGACCGTATGGGCACTGTAATTGACGGCTCTCGCAATCACCGCTGGGGTCGCACCACCGCATCAATTACGACCCAAACGGTGATTGCGAGAGCTGTTAATTACAATGCGCAAATGGTCCCACGGCTGCCACGTGCCATAAATACTGCACTCCTTGTGCCACCATTACCCTTATCTGCGAATGTCTCTGATGATGGATTCGAGTGAGAATCCTAAACGTCAGGCTAATAAATTTCTTGTTCCAGTGATCATATCTTCGTCTTCTGAACTGCTACCTGGAACTCGCCTGTCCTCTTCTATCAGTAAACCCTATAAGCATTTGCCTCACGTTAGATGGCTGTTATGACCCCGCCTGGTACTTAGTAATCACACGGAGCGTATGCGCACTGGACTCTTGTCCCCAACACCAACACGGCAGAGAGGGAGAACACGACCGGCCACGAAAAAGGTATTAGAAAACTGCAAGTCATTATAACTGGAAAAATTACGCGTGTTTATAACATCCTGCCAGGGTTCGCCTGCATTCGGTCCAATGCACTTCGAAAAGAATTCCTGGCGAGCTGCTTGATTTCTCGCATACATGGACTAATCAGGCTCGAGGGGAGCAGCCAATGGCGAGGCGCCACCGTCATGTTGGCAACGTGCTAGAGAAAACGCACGTGGCCTCCAGTGATTGGCTAACTCTTGTTTTTGGGAGTGTAGACACTCCCAACAATGACTATGGCGTCTCCAGCACAAGACCCCATGGCTAGACTGAACAGTGACACCAACTTTACATTCTCGTGGTCTGCAGAGACGATTTTAGCCAGACCTAATTAAGGATATCTTGTTTATGCACGTCAACTTAAACCGTGTTTGTGAAGTTACATCATCTTGAGGATACAACTACATCGAACATGCGTAAAAAGTTGATATTTCGGCAGGGCGAGTTACATTTTAAGAGCTGGAAGCAAGTTGCTGAGAGGTTCGAACAGAAGAACACCCGCTGGACACAGTGATGATCAAAATCCGACGTTTAGTCGCGTTATGCGTGTGGATATCAGGAGGCCGTAGAAATATATAAGGTAGAATCAGTGCTATACGAGTAATTTGGTCACATTACTGGCCTTGTGTTGCCCTTAGCCTGCAGTGAGCGGCTCCTGTCACGCTCACGACACACCCAACAATTTATAAGGGGGTATTAATCGCACTACATTGTCTGCTCTAAACCGTCTCTAACTTTGTGTGCACACCCGTACTACTGCGCAGGGAGCGCCCTGATCTGAATGACAGACCACAAACCTTAACGACTTCATTGTCTCCAGATTTTAGAATA